CCTCTGATTTTCTTTGTCCCCTCTCCCCTCGCCTGATGTCCCAATGTGCTCAGGAGATTTTGCCTCATTCCACTTCTCTGGGGTATCATGCACCTCTCTTGGGAACCTCCTTGTTTCCCAGACTCACTGGCACTGGGATTGTAGGATCTGCAACATATTCTAAATTATTAATGTGCAAGATGTTACAATGAAGTCAAAAAAGCAAAGCTTAAGCTGTGACAAGAAGAACAAAAAGTTATTGAAAGGCAGGTAGGCCTTTGATGAGGGTAAGCTGAGAAGACACAGAATAGTGACATATTTTCTTAGGTTACAGTGAGTCATAAAAAAACAGAATGAGTGATCTTATCATGGTTGTGTGTGCTGAAACTCAGTGCTCAGGAGGCTGAAACAGGAGGATCAGACCAGCATAGACATTTGTTAATAAAGCACTGTTGGCCAATAGGAATCTAGATGGGTGGGACTAGGAGTCCAGGAGGATTCTGGGAAGGAGAAACACAAGAGAGTCGACATGTAATGCCATGGGGTAGGAAGCCCGGAACTATTCTCCAGTAAGAGAAATACTTAGATTAACAATTATGGGGTAATTACTTAAGTCAGAGCTAGCCAGTAAGAAACAAGCAAGGCCAACAGCTTCATAATTCATATAGCCTCCTGTGTGTTTATTTGGGACTGATACGGCTCTAGAACCAGGCTGGCAGGATAGCGGCTCTGGAACCAGGCTGGCGGGAAAGCTTCTCACAAGAAAAAGCTTCTCTTAACAGAATGGTTGTCAGGAGCGGGATTGAATTTCCACACAAAATAACAAAAGATTTAAAGGAATTTTAGAAACAGAAGAACAGAGAGAAGCACAGATTTTTGGTAGCAGCATTTTCTCAGGTGTGCTCTGTTTTGCTAGCTACAAGCCGAGATTCACGTGGCTCGCTTACTGGAGTCTTCCTGACTCGGCATTAAAAAAAAAAAAACCAACAAGGTTGTTTTAAGAGACTCTGCTAACAATTGAAAAGTTGTACATACAGCTGGAAGTGGCAGCTTTTGCTAGAGGTCAGCATGGACTAATGAGGTAAGCTGGAGTCACGCTTACGCCCGCCATCTTGAAAAAAACCCGGCAGTTTAAAACAGCCGCGGTTTTACAGATAAGACACGTGGCCAGAAAAACATAAAGATTTACAGTAAAGTCAGACTTAGATGAACCAAACCTCTAAAGGTTTACAGTGTGTTTAAAAATATATGTGAGATTGAGAGAGAAAATGAAAGGACAAAGTGGTAAATAAATACAAAAGCCGGCGTTGTGGTGGCACACGCCAGTAGGATTTACTCCAGAGGCAGAGGCAGGCGGATTTCCAAAGAGAAACCCTGTCTTAGAGAAAAATAAATAAACGTAAAATAAATAACATAATAATCGATAAATAAATAAGCCACGTAAAGATGGAAAATACACAGAAAGTCTGGATACTGTATGCTATTGTGTTTTTCAGTTTTTTCATTGCTAAGGAAGGAACAACTGATAAAGTACACTTGCTTATAAATGCTGCTAAATTAATTCAACTTATATCTTTTGAAAATACCTTGACTTCAAAATTTAAGTATAAGGATATGTTACTTGGAAAAGGAGTTTTTATTTATGTTTCTACAGAAAATGAAAAGCTGAGGATTCCTTCCAGGCTTCTGTGGTTTGATGAATCAAGTCCCCCGGAAGCAGTGGACCAGGTGTTCCAACAATTGAGACAGCTAAGATGATGGAGCTTTACAGACCCTGAAAATAAGGACTTATACAGGTTTCTGAGTTTTGTCATGATCCCCATGGTGTGATCAGCGCCCCCTTCCAGCAGGAAGCAGTTTGGAATGAGCTACGTCCTAATTCCCATCTTGTTTATAAATCTTTGTTTTCATTTAAATGGGTTGTTTATAATTGGCTAATGATCACAGCCAATCTCTTTTTAATGGTAAAAAGGGGAATTATGTTATGGGTATGGTTTTTCATTTATTGATACAAATTCAAGGTCAATTTTGTGATATGTATATTTCTCCTCTTGATTACATATTGTGCTTATACTGATCTTTTAAAATGCAATGCGTAATTAAATAGATTATAGATAGTTACTTATAATAGTCAGAATTTATAGTTAGGTAAGTTAGGTTTTCTAGATATACAGAAATATATTTGACATAAACAGTCTTCAAACCTTTCAAAGACCTTCAGAAAATGGCATTTAAAATGGTTTAGGGTTTTTCTTGAAAATGAGAAATGTCTGCTCCTGGCAGCACCAATTACGTCTGAGAGGAAGATGGGCATCGAAGAAACTCGTTATGGAGTTTGCTTTCAACATGGCAAGATTAGCCATTTGGGCAAGAAACTGCTCTTGCCTAGACTGACTGTTGCTGTATAAACTGGACATGCAGGACCCACAGAAAAGTGACTGCTAAACTCAGTCTTGCAGGGTTCCTGCTTCATGGAAGTGTCTACCAGACTTTCTACAGAACAGAGAAATGACTGACAGACTGCCAATGCAGATGGACAGTTTGAAATTTCCTGCTTTGCTGAGAAATCTTCTGGACACATTGTGGCCTATGGGCTGAAGATGGATGCCCCAACGTTACAGAGGAACTTCGGGTGACTGTCCAGGCAGTAAGATGTCTCTGTCAATCCTAGTGTTTATATATTATCCTTCTGTGGTCTTTGATGGAGTTGAAGATAGATAGTTGTAATTATAGTTTTCCTTAGTTATGATAAAAGATACATATAAAACTTTGGACTCACAAGAATGGGATGGATGATATTTTCTTTAAATCTTGCTAAAATATTGTAACTATGTTCTTATTTGATAACTGTTCTGTTATATACAATTTGACTATGTTAAAGACCTTTCTTTTTGTTTAAACAGAAAAGAGGAGATGATGGGAGAAGTCCTGTACATTTGTTAATAAAGCACTGTTGGCCAATAGGAATCTAGATGGGTGGGACTAGGAGTCCAGGAGGATTCTGGGAAGGAGAAACACAAGAGAGTCGACATATAACGCCATGGGGTAGGAAACCCGGAACTATTCTCCGGTAAGAGAAATACTTAGATTAACAATTATGAGGTAATTACTTAAGTCAGAGCTAGCCAGTAAGAAACAAGCAAGGCCAACAGCTTCATAATTAATACAGCATCTTGTGTGTTATTTGGGGACTACAATGTGGCAGAGCCCAGGCTAGCCAAAGCGGCTAGCAAGAAAAAGCTTCCCTTAACACTTAAGCTGTGACAAGAAGAACAAAAAGTTATTGAAAGGCAGGTAGGCCTTTGATGAGGGTAAGCTGAGAAGACACAGAATAGTGACATATTTTCTTAGGTTACAGTGAGTCATAAAAAAACAGAATGAGTGATCTTATCATGGTTGTGTGTGCTGAAACTCAGTGCTCAGGAGGCTGAAACAGGAGGATCAGACCAGCATAGAGTACATATGAGATCTTGTCAAGGACATCCTAGGGAAGGAAGCAAAGAGGCAAGGAGAAATGGAGTGAAGGAGTGAGAATTAAGAAAATGTTTATTTACAAGCAGCCATTTATCATGGTTTCTACCCTTACCTAAGGAAACCAAAGGAATGCAGGGTATAACAAAGTAAATCAGTCACATTAGAAGAATCGAGGCCATGGAGCAAGTATCTATAGCATCAGACTAGCTTAAACCAGAACACATGTGGTTCTCATTGCACAGCCCTGTGAAACTGATCCAATTGTATACAGCTCTGCTTCCATTCCCATTCCAGAAGCAGTCTTTATATGGACTATTATCACTAGCATAGGGACAAAAGCTGAAAGGTTAAAACTAGTGATATGATCTTAAAAAGAAGCATGGTGTATGCTCTTCTACAAGATGTCCAGATGTTGGAAGGTAGAAATTTTGCATGTCTAATGTGGCTGAGTAGAGTGAGAGAAAACTGATTTAGAACAAGAAATCTAACTTCAGCCCACAAGCAATGTACCCCTATATATCTTATTCCACAAGATGTTTACCCAAGATGTGTTTATTAACTTTTAAATGATAGAAGAATATAAATATTTAACAATAGTTTCTAGCTCAACAATTATTTGCTGAAGGAAGTAACATATAACCAATGGAGTCTAACCCTTCCTACACTCACCATTCCCAGCCCCCAGCTTGGCCTGGCAGCATATCCTGTGCAGTACTCCCACCTACTCAGTGGACTTTAGCCCACCTATGAGACATCTAATCTCCAGGTCCTCAATTTGGGGGCTTATTCTGTACCCGGGTCTGATCTAACAAATATAGTTCTTGTCCATCATTAAAGAAGTTGGGATTGTTGCTGTTGTTTTGTGACATATGGAGACCATTATTAAAAGGCATAACTAGTCAAAAGGCAGAGAACAACTGCCCATGGGATGCCCCAACCTAACTGATTCATCTACAAAGAAATCCCTAAAATTATGGCTCTAGGAATAGTATTGAAGATGGGGCAGAAATATCGAAATATCAGAGGACCAGGATGTCTACTACAATATAGTGTCTTGAATATAAGACAGGGAAGCCTCAGCCATGAAATCTCAACAATATGGCTACTAAAACAAAACTTGACATACCAATGAGTAAGAAAATCTGACAAGACTCTACTCCTAGACAAAGAGCTATGGATAATTAAGGACTACCTATAAGAGGGTGAACCAGTTTCTCCCAGGGATAAGCTCCCTAATCAGCTGTCTGATGCCAAATGATCAGCCCAAAATGTGTCTACATAAGAACAACACTAAATGGGCTCGGCAAGTTGTATTTATTAATTTGTTTGTATGTGTATGTGTGTTTGTGTGTGTGTGTGTGTGAGAGAGAGAGAGAGAGAGAGAGAGAGAGAGAGAGAGAGAGAGAGAGAGAATACAATGACAAAGAAAACGAGGCTATCAGTTTGAAAGGGAGCAAGGAGGAACATTGGAAAAGTTGGAGGGAGGAGGGAATGATATAAATACAAGTACACAGATGACATTTCAAAAATAATAAAAACTACTGACATCGTTTTTCTTGTAATTTTTATTTCACATCACTGGAGCATTATAAACATTGTGTTTCCACTGCTGCAGTTCAACTGTCTAGAAAGAGCACATTAAACTTTGTTGTCATCTTTTGGTGACTCTTGCCATGAGCAGCCTCACAGCTCAAGTTCTGAATCCGCAGCATGCTACCCAGGGGCAATGAGATAGCAAGCTCCCTGCGTGAGTGAACCAAATATACTCCACATAGAAATTCTAGAGTCCACACAAGCACCAAACTCATCAAGCAATGATGACATCATGAGAATCTGCAGTGTGTCCTCCTTTTGACATTCTTCTGGCTTTGCTCAAAGAAAGGTCATAATTGCCAGGGAGAGATGGGAATAATGTAACAAAAATGTCACTGATGTCAGAGTAACACTGCATGAAGCCTTGAAAACAGGCTGTCTGAGCCTACTTTCTTCACTGCGGGATATTTGGAAACTTCTCTAACTTCTCAATAACTCGAGCCATCTTTCAGCTTCCAAAAACAATAACAATAATCTGTTTTACTGGACGTTGCAAACATTGGCAAATAATGACGTGAACTCTACCTGAATGGCTTGACATAGCTGACATAATTGGATTACCCCAAACTGAACTTCATTCCCGTGCAAAGGCAGGAAGATGTTAAAATACTCTCTGGGAAGGCTGTCAATGAAGGATAAGCCCTATGTGTCTCGCAAGGCTTGCTCAGCAGCTCTGCTACAAATCGATTGGATTTTGTTTTTTAAAGACCAAATGGTTAAAGAATGGGAAGAGTTACTTAGACAACCCAAAAGCCAGAATTCTGCTTATCAGAATTACCATATGTGAAGGCCCACCCCTGGGACCCTTGCTGGCTTCCATTTTTATTTTCGTGACTTTTCACAGCACTTTAGAACCCAGGAGACAATGTGGATTTTTACAATAAAAATATTCTTTTTTAATGTAAAATTAAAAATGGGTTTAATGAATTGAAGTAGTAGCTGAAACAAAATTAAGTTAAATATGAGAACAGTCCTGGGGATATATGTAGGAGGGTAAAGGAGCTTATTGGACAAATATGAGGTCCTGGGTTCAGATTCTCAGTGGCCATGTAAAAAGCCACACATACCTGGGAACCAGCACTATGGAGCTGAGATAGGAAGGAGGGTGAGATCTCTGGGGCTTGCTAGCTACATTACTTGATGAAAATAAAAATAAAAAATGAAAATAGAAGACTTCAGAATCAGTGAAAAGCTCTGAGTGGGATATGGCAAAGAGTATACCCAACATCTTCATCTGATCTCTGTACAGATGAGGATATGTACATGTATGCATGCAAAATAAGAAACAAGAAAAATGTGAAGGCTGCTCACCAGATAACTGATTATAATTTTCAGTGAAAAGATTTTTCACTCTTGGGGAGCATAAACAGACCTTTAATTAGTCCCACATCAGGAAAGCAATTGCCTGGGGTTCTTCTGTACAATATTCTGCAATGACTTCCAGAGAGCGCTGATGAACTTAGAGTCAGTGATGAAAATGAATAATGGAAATGGCAACTTGTCAAGGAAACAGTGAAAAAAATTGAAATCTGATTAGCTAAACATGCATTTAACTGTTGTTATGGTTTTAACCATGTGCTAAAAGCTGGTCATCCCATTGTGGTGTTACTTGAGCTGCTAGACTTTTAAGGCAGTGAAGCCTAGTGACAGGAAGCTGGGCCACAGAGGATGTGCCCTAGAAGCCTTTTGATTCCCTTGCTTCCCAGCTACCATGAGTTTAGCAGCTTTCATCTGCCACCTGCTTCTATAATGACAAGTGTCCATGTACTCAAAACTCTCCAATTATGAGGTAAAATATATTTTTCTTCTTGTGAGTGATTTGAGTTACTAATCTTGGGCATTTTATCACACCAACCAAAAGTTAACAAATTCTCAGTAACAACTACGAGAAAACATTGCTGCTCTTCCTCAACTTGGAAAAATAAGCTGTGGGAAACCAGAGATCTCACTAAAGTTTCAATGGGGAACAAGAAAAATGCAATTAGCATGGGGAGAAGGGAGGTATCTTTGAGGTGACAGCAGGAGATACCAGGGTGGGTCAGAGGACAGACACTATCATGAAGCAGAAAGAAAGGTTAAAATCTAGTCCTTGTAACAGAAATGGCTAAGGCAGTGGTTCCCAACCTGTGGGCTGCAACCCCATTGAAGATGAAACCACCCTTTCACAGGGGTAGTATTTATATCACATTTATATTATGATTTAAAGGAGTAGTAAGATTATAGGTATGATGGAGCAACAAAAATACTTTTTTGGTTGGGGATCACCACAACATGAGGATTTGTGTTAAAGCGTCACAGTTTTAGGAAGGTTGAGAATTGCTGAGCTAAGGTACATGTAGAACCAGTTATCAGGAGAACCCGAAAAGTACTCCAAAGTCTAGTAAAAAAAATGAGGATAATAATTAAGGCTGCACCGAGGCTTTTCGAATGTACAGGACATAGAATAGCTGAAGTGAAGCTGCACATGTCCTCTAATGCCTGCTGGGACTGAGACACTGCTTGGGTCTCTGTCTGAAACTGCAAAACTCCATACACCTAGAAGATACAACATCCCAAGTATGTAACCAAGCATAGTGAGGAAATTTTTTTGCATTTTCAATATCTGTTTATACTCAATAATTGCATAGAAACCCTGAAATGTTTGTTGAGTATATGCATGCCTCCCTACATGCTCCCTGCAGCTGATTGCCCCTGAGTTATCACCCTGCCTGTTTAACAGCTTCACATATGCAGTCAGATTCATAACTTCCGTCATCTTCAGAGAATTCACAACTGTAATGGTTAATTTCTTACAATGTATACCACATGCTTCAGTCAAATTAAAATGTCGTTATGTCATAGCTCAAGGAGTAATTTCAAGAAAATTCTAACATTAGTTCAAAATGTGCAAAGGGAAATATTAAAATTCTGTATTTCCTGTAAAAATCTTACAATCAGCCAGTGCAATTTACAAAATCAGGGTGTCCACATTGGAGGTTATTTAGGAAGTATCAGTTGTAGGTTTGTTGTTGTTGTGTTTTCATTTTCAAACATTTATTGAATCTTTCCTTGGTAGGTAAAAGAAAGTTTTATTTTTTTTACTAACTTGTTATACCTGTGTGTGTGAGAGAGAGAGGGGGCTTAATCTCCTGCCTCAGTTCCCAAATCCTGGATTTGGGGTTGCACTGCATGTCACTGTGTCCAGTTCACCAGATATCTGACCCTTCCCAGGAACACTTGCTAAGATACTACTTGAGCAACTGGGCAAATGGCCCTGATGTTGTGATCATATTTTGCACCATCTTCTCAAGTAACTGTCTGCTACATAGTATTATGTGCAAAGCTAAAATGGTTAAAGTTATATGATTTGCTCTTCAATGATTAATGAAACTGTGAATGTTTTAGATTTAAAGCATTATTGTTTAGAAGTTTTGGCATTTGAAAGCCTCCTTTTCTGTAACTTAGTGGGTTCTCTTTAAGACACAACTTATTCACCACAACATTTTTTCTTCTAAAAAAAGTTTGCAGTTTTCATTGTGAAATGCACTTTAGTGTGTAATCACCCTATAAACATTTTCTTTTCAGTGTCTAGAAATTTTGTACATACAATCAGTCAAAACTAGAAACTATGTATCTATCAAGACATCTGAGTCACTTGCAAAATTACAGCCTTGTGGGGAAAGGGACAATGTGCTACTGAGACTGCATCATATGGGCTCCCATGGCTTCTCTGATTTGCTTTCCTATTCCTGAGCTAACAGTCCCACAGCTTGGAAACAATCATGGTAAGCTGAGGATAATGAAGAGACCACAAGTCCTTGCTGTGACTGGCAGCAGAGCATCCAGCTAAGTGTGGCCAGGCAACAGAACCACCTTGGACATCCAACCTAGTGAGGCCTTGACAGGGCAGCATTTCATAACTAAAAGGTGTCAGACACTTCAAGTAGGAATATTCCAGGAAAGCCCTCTGAATTCCTGACTCTTTAAAGCATGAGCTTTAATATTGTTAATATTGTTTTAAACTTATACATTTGGGACATTTTGTTATTCATGATAAATAACTGAAATAAGGTCAGATTCATGTTTTCACTGTGAAATGAACTTTATAGATTGACTAAAATAAAAAGATACCCTGCAAGTGTGTGTGTGCGTGTGTGCGCGTCCTCACGCGCAAGTGCATGTGCGGGCGTGTGCATATACTCACACACACACAGGGATAAATATGCTACTATGCTCAGAATGTCAGAGTAAATTTCTTGCTGTCTGCCTTCAAATCAACATTCTAGCTAGCACTGACTGGCTTTTAACCAGAGGGGCCCTCTGCAAATTCATCCCTGGTCTTTTCTCACTCAGGAAAGCTTTCACCCTGTGCCTCCCAGTTTTCCACAAGAGATAATATTGGGAATTCAGTGTTCCTTCAGCTGAGTGTCCTCCAGTTAGAGAAGGACTGACACACAGGACAAGAGATTTACAGCATCATTCTTGAGGTCATTTCTCTAGCACAGGATTTAGTTCATCTGTCTTTTCTATTGCTTTCATTATGCTAGATGCAATATTTCACAAATGCAACCTAAGACTGTGCTAGGCTACTTTTCTAACAGCCACATCATGCTATTGGCTAATGTTATGGCTGTCATCAAGTGGAAATCCCAAAGTTTTGCCATCTGCGCTGTGGCCAAGCCAGCTCACTCTCAGGCAGCTGCCTTCTGAACCTAAACAGAACCCGAAACTTAGTCTGCTTTATGTCATTTCATTGGTTTCTGCCCAGTGTGTCTCTGGTAGTTGAGATCATCTTTAGTATTGATTTTGTCATTTTTTGTTGTTTGGTTTTAAATTGTTATTTTATTTTTGTGTTCTTCAAACGCAACCACTGTATCCTTCATCACTCTCTGCCATCCTCCTTCACTCCAGTGCCTCCCTTCTAAATCCATGACATCTTTCATTATTACTACACACACATATATGTATAGATACACATATATAGTGTGTATGTGTATATACTATATAAATGTGTATATTGCCTGTGTATGTATGTTAAGTATTTAAGAAAATAGAATAATTTTTACCTTTTTTCAAACTTCTGTTGTTTATGTCTCCTTTCCTTTGTCACTTAAAGATTTAACTGTGAATCCTATCTATCCACTTCATCTCTTAAATTCTATCAAAACTATTCATAGTACATTAGCAAGAGTTTAAGGCCCCAAATATAAACATCCCCACTGTTTGATCCACTAAACAAGAAGATTGTGCCAAAATGTTGTCAAATGCATTGATAAAATTAAAATAATTGAGAAGCACTTACTTATCAATAACATGGTGTGTGTGCTAGAGTTTATAACAAAATGAGAAAGCTCATAAATTCACAATTTGTTTTGCATGCAGATAGGATAACTCCTTGAATAATATATAAATTATCTTTCAATTATCTTCCAATGACTTTAAGTCACATGCATAATAACCCACTCTAGAATACTGTGTTACATTTAAAAAATAGACAGCCACTGTGTCTTCAGACAAAATCAATACTTATTAATGTATACAATAAAATAATAACTGTTGTATATGATTTTTTAATTGCATAAAAAATAATAAAAACTCCTCAAAAAGACACCAATCCCCATTTTTAGGTTTCACAGTTATCTTGAAAATCCATACATCATTTTCTTAGTTTAGATTTGTACAATAAATTTTGTTTTCTGGTATTTCTTAAAAATTAGAGTGTAGCCACTCTAGTATTAATAATATATACATTATTCCATTTTATTTTCTTCTTATCAAAAACCCCTCTATCGATTTCATTAACTGGTCATTTTGAGTGCAATTTTCTGTTTAATCTAGTTTGTATGTGTAGAACTTGTCCACCTCTCTTGAAGCTGTTCTTACAGTACCTACAATAGAGCCCAGGGCTTGCAGCTATTCTAAAGAGATGTTGCATGTGGTAGGATTTTTTTCCATTTTATCTTCAGTTGCCCTTATCTTTACTTATTTGTGGGTAGTATTGTAACTGGGCACATGTGTACAGTGTGTAATATTCTAATAAGGATAATAACTGTCTCTGCCTCCTCAAGTCAAATCATTTCTGTGTGTTGCTAACCTTTGAACCCTGCTCTTATAGTAATCTTGAAATGTATAATTAACTGTCTCTACCACATCTGTCCTAGATTACTATGTAACAAAACAACTTAGTGACCGTCTGTGTTTTGATACCCATTATCTACCCCCTCCCTATCAACATTCTGCCATATACTTGCTATCATCTTTGTGATCATTTTTGAAAATTTCCATTAATATGTGATAACATAAAAACATGATATATAAAATTGTCTCAGGACATTTCAAGCATGCAGAAAAGTTTTTAAAAAAACCAATTTAGGAAGATCCAGCAGCATGTTCTTTTCTGACTTCTCTTCCTTGGCCAATTCCGGAGAAGTCTATCATCTTCCCTCTAAGTCAGAGAACCCCTTGCTCACTGCCCATGGCCAGTGAACCCATTAAAGCGTTATTACTTGCTTCATTGTTGTTTGTCATCTGTGCCTCCAAGAGATTGGGACTGTGTGTTTTGGGATAAAAGAAATCTTGCTTCCCCCTCCTCTCTTTTTGTGGCAGCCCTGGTGACCACCTCAGCCTGAAATGTGAGTCAAGTCTTAGTATTTCTACGCATTCTCAGTCCATATCTTAAAAGCTGAAGACAAATGCCATTGTTATCTCTTTGCTATTCCCAGAAATTATACAGCACTCTTAAGTCAACATGGTTGCCAAAATTTAAAATTAATAAACAGGCAGAATTAATTTAGTTGACAATGCCATAAATATAAAGGGCAACAGGCTTATACACAGCCAGTCCCCAAAGCATAGATGTCAATTCCAACCAAAGACCAGGAAGGAAAATACAATATTTCCGTCCATCTTGTGCTCTTAACTGAAATGAGGCCCTTCATCGTCTCCTTGATTTTCTAGGAAGCAAGCACACTTTTCCAAAGGGAAAATTATTTTTCACCAGAAACAACAAGTGTAATCTAACATGAGCGAAGAATCTCCTTCTTCTGCCTCTTGTAAAACACAAATTAATAAATAACCTCAGCATGAGGTGCCAATGCACATCTGACCCCTTGAAGACTTGGCGCGTGTTCGGGAGCCACTACAGCAGTAGAAAAGAACTCCTCTCTTAGCCATCTGGACTGATGCATTCAGATCCTTCCATTTCTGTTTTTATAGGAAGGGGAGGGGGGTCTTGTTTTATTCACATCATCAGAGAAATTCTATAGCTCCATGGGCATTAAAAAGAAAGAAAGCTCTGCATGTCATCCGTGGTCAACACTCAACACACATAGGAGTTACCTGGGGCTCTTGTTAAATGCAAATTTTGAGCCTTGTGTGGGAACAGAGATTCTGTGTTTCTAACAGGCTCCCAGTAGATGCTCCTGTTGCCAGTCCACAGGGCTCTCTCTGAGTATCCAGGATACAGACATGTATAGAAAAATAAGAATGACCGCTAAGCACTTTTCATCTCTCCTACTTAATCCTATGCTTATTTGCAGTACTAAATTAGTTTTTGCTAATAGATTAAAATAATCAATCAGAGAATTCTCTTGTTCTTATTCTTTCCTTTTCATTTGCTTTTGTGATGGAAAAACCTCCTCTAAACTATTTTAGACGGCAAGCTGGTTTTGTGGCGAGAGAAAAAAAGGCCTGAAAGGAGAAAAGGAGAAAACATTCATAACATTATAAAGATGCATTTTATCATTTTTATTTAAGCAAGCATCTCTCTCTCTGTCTGTCTGTCTGTCTGGCTCTCTCTCTCTCTCGTGTGTGTGTGTGTGAGAGAGAGTTACATCAATTTATATCAATTCCAAATCCTAAAGACCATAAAATACAATGAAACTTACTTTATCAACCACACCAAATATTGTCAAGTAATAGACAGTCTTCTAGAATTGTTATAAAACACACAGGACATAATACTTGCAATACCTAAATGACTCATGCCTGGTGAGACTGTGTTTACTTGTTAGTTGGCAGCTTACTGAGCTATGATTCTTCAATTTACTCTGTTATTCAAGTCTTTGGAACAAAGGAAATCCAATGTGCTCAGTTGAAATGTGTTGTTCCTTAGTGTGGAGTGTAAAATTCTCTCTGTAGTCTAATTAGCTGTAGAGACTTTTCCGATGTACCCTTAAAGCTATATTTCTCCAGAGTATGATTGGCAAGGTGAGCACTTGGCATTATCACCTGCCATTTAAACAAACTGAAGGCTCATCCTGAGTTCCATGAGGAAGTCACACCTGTTTAAGGTAAAAAACCACTGAGGTACTTTGAACAGTAATTTTCCTAGGTGACTTACAAGACAGTAAGGCTATTTATTTTGTCTTTTATAATTATAGAGAAAAAGTTCCACTGGAGGAAAAGAGCAAAATATTGAAAACAATTCAAAGAACACAAAATAGCTACAAAATAATCCTTATCATCTTTCTGATCATTCCAAAAACTTAATTAAATTTATATCACAAAATTCATTGAAGTACCTAAAATTGGTCAACTTTGTATGACTGACTATCAAAACTCTACTACTTTTAAAAGTATGTGACTATTTTATATGTATGAATGTTTTACCTGTGTGTATGTCTGTGTACACATGTGTGCCTGGTGCCTGAGGAGACCAAAATATAGATTTAGGTACCCTGGAACTGAAGTTATAGATGTTTCGAGCAGCAGTGTGGGTGCTAGGAAGTGAACCCAGGTCTGCCCAATGAGCAGCCAGTGCTCTGAAACACTAAATTCTCTCCAGACCCAATTCTTATTCTTTAAAAGTGTGTTCTGTTAGCATTTTTCCAAAATATATAAACCAATTGTTAACTGCTTCTCATTTGAACACAAAGAAAATACATTCATGAGCTGTTGTGAAAGTGATTCGAAGAGCTAGAGCGTGGCTCATTGCTTAAGAGCACGAATTCACTGCTTTTCCAATGGACCTGAGTTCAGCTGAAAGAGAAGGAATAGGAAATGGCAGGGTGGAGGAGTTGTAGGGGAGAGGGAGAATGTAAAATAAGATTCTTTATTTTGTTTTTATGGTATCAACCAGTCTAACCATGAACTATTTACAAACCATGCCTACCCCAGAATAAATAAACATAAGAATGACATTGCAGCTTGGCTGCCTGAAGTTCAAAATGCTGACTCCTTCACAGGAATTACCATCACCACAGTCTTTACCTTGGAAGTGACATCTGGAGTGGTTACTCCAATGGCTTCATACAGCTTATGTTGAAATTTTTGTCTAACTCCATGGTAACCATGACAAAGTCTATTTCAGTGCTTACCATTATAATGAACATAAAGAACTCCTGGCATAATTGTTTGCCAACAAAAATGAAATTGCCTAATTCTAGTGCCCATTGTTTTCTTGGATCCTGGAAACCCATCATAAGGCACAAAAATTCAGAAACTATGACTTCAATTACACCCTAGAATTACACTATGGTTTAACAGAATGGTTTCCATTTGTCTGGAAATTAAAAGATGTGGATTCTTGTCCTGTTATGTTGCCCACTGTTTGGTTTGATAAAATAATTAACCTTCCCAAGCCTTAGTTTAATCTATGAAATAAGACCTGTTTTGTATTAATATATATGAGGTACTTTTTATCAAAATATGTAAATTATTGACTTGTATTTTTAAGTAAATGAAAATCTTGTATACTTCCTCACTTATCCATTGCCTTTGTCCAACAATCTTCTTCTTGTCCTCAGGTTTCTGGGAAATTTCCACCAGTCAGTCTGAGTCACTAGTGAAGCTGCAAACTACAGGTCCTGGACAAAGGACTTCCTAACAGTCCTCAAATGCCACATATTTGTTGTTACCCAGCAATGTTTATGAACAAGCTGATAGAAATAAAACATTCCACTGATTGAGTTCAGTGCCTTACAGAGAACTCACTATACTGGGGGTCCCCCTTCAAACTTGTAGGTAATGCATTCAAGATGCACAGTGTCTTCTTAAAGAGACAGAGGAGCCTGCCTTCTAAGTGTTGTTCAACACAGAAGTGCAATGTAAGCATTTGAAAGCATACACACGCATGCCTGACAAGAATGGTAGGGAGCTTTAGATCACTGGAGACTTAACCTTGAGAACCTGTCTCTCTAGCAGCTTTAGATCACCATCACCATTGAGAAAGGGCTGCAAGAATGGAGGATCTAGAACAATCAGAATCGACTAGAATTAACTCCTCTGAGTTACTGTACTTTCACTGCATCTATCATGACATGAGTTCCCAAGTGTCTGCTAACGTAAAGTGTGAAAATATGATCCCACCCAAGAAAGAGTTTGCTGACTGGAATTGACAGCTCTTCAGTAAAATCAATCTATATTCTCAACTTCTCTAAATAGTGAATGGAGGAGGGGGTCTCATTTGAGAGCTTCTGGTCATGCTTTCCCAAGGAACATTACACAACCAAGCTTCTTTCCCTCTTGTATAGTGCATCTGTTTCTAGTGTCTCTCTTTTCCTACTAATTATTGTCTTATTTTTCTTACAATAGAGATAATTGATTGACACAGACTTGACTTTTAATTATAGTTTAAACTAGATAAATGTTTGAAAAACAGTCTGAAAGAAAAAAGTGATTAAACTGAGTTAGGTGATTAAGTAGACTAGTCCAGCTAGAATAAGGAGAAGTCTATCAAGTGATAGAAGACTAGAAATTCAGACTGGCAGCAGACCAGGAATATTTCCAAAGGGTCCCAAGGCATCTTTTCCTATCTGGATGATGATGAAACATCTAGGATTTCTTCACATATTGAATTTTTAAAAGATTCTCCATACTATATGTACTCAGATAAGAAGGAGTTACACTGTAAATTATGTTTAATACAAACATTTGTGGCTGAATTCTATGCTTGTTACATTTCAATCACTTCAAGAAACACCTGAGATATACAACTTATAAAGAGAAATAGTTTATTTGATCTCATAGCTTTTGGGAGGATATATGTTAAGAACACTTATCTTTGTGTAAAAAGCCATGAAATAAAAGTGCACACCTCACAGCAAGGAACAAACTATTAAAAGAAGAAGAAACTGGTATTTCACAGTGCCCTGTAAGGGCTTTCTCTCATTAACCTAAAGACCCCCACAGGACCTTAACTGCGGAGTTTCTACCATTTCCCAATAACACCAAAGCAGAGAGCTATGCGTTTAATACACAGGTGCTGGGGGATACATGAGATCCAAACTGTAGCAAATGTCCAACAAATTCTGTATTCATCTCCAATGCCTGGAGATAAAGCTCCAGGAAGGAAAAGGTTTACTTAAAGAAAGATAGCTGAGATGAGGCAGAGAAGTGGGACTTATTAATGAATAAAAGAAAAGGTAACGTAAAGAAAGCAGCAAGTTCTTCAATTCACCCAGTATCTTTCCTCAGGGATGAAGTTGGCTTTCATATAACCAGCAAGTCAATATTGGCAATAGCTCAGCCACTAAAGCAATATCCAGTAAGCTACTGAAACCACAGAGAACTTTGAAACACAGCGTCTGGGTTTCAGTGTTATTCCCAAGAAATGTCCATACTCTTCCCCTAACACCTCCTTCTGTGAGGAATGGAAACAAGGAACAAGTGGACACCCTCGCTGAGTCACAACATCTGGTGAGGGCTTTTCTGCTGTCAAAGAACCAGAAAGATGCTCAAGAATGGTGTTGGCTTCTGAGAGAAGCTGTTCCTGCAGGATGGCTAATAACCCTCCAATTTCCAACTCAGGCAGAATATATCTATAAAAAGGAAGGAAAGGCTGTCTGTGTGCTTGCAAAGGCAGGTGTTTTCAAAGCAGAGAATACGCACAGGACTGCACAACCTCTGATGTGTTGGGTTTTGGTTCCCCTAAGTGAAATGTTCAGTGATGCTCTTTGGCTCTACCACCTTCATCAGAGCTTGGGTTCCCTCCCTTGCCTCTTGCTTCAGTTCAGTGTTTTGCTTGAATCTGAGTCATAACCTCCTTAAGCTGGCAGGAAACTGAGAGTCGGGCTGGCAGCTCCCTCTCCCTCAAGCAGAGGGAGTGTCTTGGCTGACACCTAAGCAACCTTTTCCATCCCAGACATGTAACAGAACCAATGAACATTAGCAGAATGGAGGCTGGGCTGCAGTCACAGTGTAGAAGAAAAGCCATCCTGGAGAAATGCATTAACTGAAGCCATGGTTTGGGGAAAATAGCTCATAGAATTACCTCAACCATGCATGAAATCCTTTAAATGGTTTGTATTATCCCTCTAAGCCATCTCTGGTCAAACTTTCATCGTATCCCTACAGGTTGCTGCCATTCTCCTTCCAGCATCTAATCGACCCTTCTCCCTAGCAATACTCATTGTTATTCTATTTCTCCTAAAACAGGCACTCTAGAAGTTAAGTTCACACTCTTGGGGTTCCCCTTACACATAGCTTCCATCTAAATGAATCAGAAAAAATTTTCTTTGATCCAATTTCAGTAGAATATCTACTTGACTTTGTAAGGAACGGACAAGATGTGACCAGAGAGAGGGGACAAAATCATCTGTCGTTGACACCCAATCAGTTGTCAAATTAACTCCAGCAAGGCACAAGCATACCAGCAAGAAAGAAGCAGATTCTGGAGAGGAAAGTTTGGCATACAAAAGTTATTCACTGATTGCTCCAATGTGGGTGACCCTGTGGTTCAGGGGAAGGGAATGTGGGGTCTGAACACCTGCATGGAGAAAATCTGCCAAAAGACTGAGGAGTGTTGAAAATCGTGGCAGAATCTTGGAAACAATCCTGACCTCCTTCATAGATTTTCCTTTAACCAACCTGGTACTCAAGTTTAGGACTGAGATTTGGCAAGTTTTCTGCATATAGAACTAAACAGAAAACGTCCACCTCTCCTGAACCCATCCAAACATTCCATAGTGCTTCTCTCAGTTCTGTCTTTGTAGTACTCTCCCACCATCAGTTTCTTCTTGGCTCTCATTCACCTCACCCTCGGCTTCCTCAATTTCACTTCTAGCATGTAGCACCATTCTTAGCCAGGACCATTGCCTGTTTCTTCTCAATGTTCCTCTGTTTTTGTTGCCTGTGCCATCACACAGTGCCTTCTGATTGCTCAGACCAGGGGTCTGCTGTCAACCAAGTGCTTGACCTACAGAAGGTAATCTTTGCCCAGCTGATTTGAAGAAAAGCAAAAATAAAATAACAAAAATGATATAAAAAACCTCTAAAATATTTTTAAAATAAAGGTTCTTATTGAAAAAAATAAAACTTGTCAATTCTGGATGTGTAAAGACAACATATCTCACTGTATTAGAGAGTACTCTACAAACAGCTGTATTTCCATATTTAAAATACATGCAGCTTTGTTATTAATCAAGCTCTTTCTTTTAACAGACACAGGCTCTTTGTTTATTTCAGATATGCAGCTACACAGTTGCTCTCCAACTCAATATTAGTTATGAGAGGTAACATTGAATTATTAATATAAATAATGTGTTAATAGTGCCCCACCTGTGTGCAAAGGGTCTTGGAAAAGACTCCAAGCTTAGTACGAAATGATTTTTTATTCAAATCTCCAGAGCAGAGAAGAAACCACTTTCACAACTGTCGTGCTGCATCTGTTCCACCCATTCCTCACTCCCCAGTTGGTGCAGATGGGCTATACCCTCCAGTCTCACTCTGTGTGTGTAGGAGGAAGTCTATGCCGCCATTAAACATGTGACTTACTAAGTCTATGCCGCCATTAAACATGTGACTTACTAGAGGCGCATACAGATGAGGTAATAAAAGGGCGGTTTACCACACCGCTAACCACACCCACTTTAGGCAGGACTAAAGACGTATACGGCTGGACATAAAGACGTATACGTACTTAGGCGGAACTACGTCACTAGCCAAGCCCACTTTTGGGCATGGCTAGGGGCGTTACGGGGGAAGGCATAAAAGACAGCTCACAGGAAGTCTCGCTCTCTTTTCCTGGAGTTCAGGTTCTGGTCCAAGCTGGGTAGGTCAAGGAAAAAGGGGGCTGGAGAGTTTGCTCAGTCCCTTAGCAAACGCACCACAAGAGGGCCGAGGGCTTGTGGTTACTCCTCATCCCTCTCAGGGGTGCTGAGCTCCCGAGTAACCCCCAGAAGCTTGGCTTCAGGGCTCAGTCGAGGTTCCCCCAAGGGCCCCTCACCCTCCATGTGTGCCCATGTGTAATTTCTGAATGCCAAACTTTCTGGGGACAGAATGATCTTAGACTAACACAACCAAGCTAAAGGCTCTATGTCTTAATGTTTGAAGACTGCAGATCTAATCCAATACTTTTGGTTTAGAACTATGAAGGAGATGAAGCAGCCAATCAGGAAGCAAATATCTCAAAAGCCAGTCCTTTCAGGAAACCAAAAACCCTGAAGAAGAATGTCATTAATTCAAACAATGAAGAAAGACAAACTTGATGAAATGTCACTCAGCAAAGAAAGAGATAGCTGGGGCTAGAGGTTAGCTGAGGAGTCATGAGCACTTGTCTCTTGCAGAGGACTTTGGTTCAGTTCCTAGCACCTCATGTGGGCTCTCAAACATCAGTAACTTCAGGGAATATGACTTCCTCTTTTGACCTCTGCAGACTTTAGTTACACATGTAAAGTAATATACGAAGCACTCATACACACAAAATAAAATAAATCTTAAAGAATGTCTTGAGTATCTGAATTCTCATCATGTGTCAGTCTCTGATGAAAGGTGTACCCAAGGCAAAATTAAGCATTTTCTATAGTTCTATAATGGATAAACTATATTTTATGAAGAGTGTGTTATGTCATATAACTCTCTGGGTTCAGCCATAGAAAAATGTTGCAGTCAAATGAATTGCATTCCTGCAAAAATAAGAATCTTGAAATACCTCATGTAGCAGTACATGACTGTAACCACAGAGCTACAGAGACAGTGTTGGATCGTTACAATTCTGAGGCTATCCTGTGCTACATAATGAGATGTGGTGTCCAATAAAACTGAAATGAATTCTTTATCACTATTTTTGAATTGAAGTGAACAGATATTTTTCAATAGAAGATTTAAGCATTCCTCTTTGATTTTCTTCTATCAGAAAATACAAGGAGCCAATCCCAAAGAATGTCTTTAAGAAAGCAAGAGAATACTGTCCAGACTTTGCTCCACCACTCACACTCAGTATCACTTCAGTATGACCACTGATTGACTGCCTTTTTCTTATCCTTAGCACCTTCCTCTGACCCTCCAGATACTGACCTGATACTTCTTGGATTCTCCACACAAATGGTTAAACAAAGTGCTCAGACCATCCTGACGACAGAACTGAAGATCCAAAGTTCTGTAGACCTTGAAGCAGCTGTCAAATTGAGCAAGAATAAGGAATCATTCTTACCCATCTTGAGAACAGCTTACGAATACTAAAGCAGAAATGAAAAGGAAAAAATGCATTGCATTCCAAAGGCTTTTCCAGATAAAAGTCCTGAATGCTAATGAAACACTGTAAAGAATTATGTATTTAGTAGACTATGAGGAGTTCAGTATAAATCAAGACACCACATGGATTCATGTGAATGACTGCCAAGGACACATGCCTCTCTTCCACAGTACTTTGTCCTTTGACCACCTTGGCCTCCCCTACTCACAGTGTCTAGTAAGCTCCACTTAGGCTCTCCCTTAGTCATGGCCTTTAAACTCTCCAATGTCATAAGCAAGCTGGACAATTACAGTTCTTCTGATTACATTTCCCATCTGTCTATAACACTGTATTATGTGATAGTTAATGTCTTAAAACTCTTCTTTCCATCATGTTTTCTCAATATGTTGGTTATTTCAAGTTATTTAAGCTAGAAGACCAACACTTTAAAGATTTAATAGAAACTTTGGCTGGATTTAATGAATTAAACTGTTCTAGACTCAAGGCCTTAGACTCACAATGTCCCTGATACAGCAAAGATACAGACGTGGTGTGACTGAGTAATAAATTCAACAACTCCATTGTGAAAGAAGGTTCTAAAATGGGCTTGGATGACCATTACTCAAAAAGAGATATAGAAATGACCTACAAGTATGCGGAAAGTGCTCCATATTGCCAGTCACCATAGGAATACAACTCAATACCACAATAAATACCTCCACACCCCAGCTTGCCTGACTAGAACTCAAAAAGACATAAGATAGGAGCTGGCAAAAACATAGAACATAGAAGCTGCTTACTCACTTCACTGTTCATGCCCATACAAAGTTCAAGATTTGTGATGGCAAATAGTATGGGCTTCTGCAGTTTGAAAGTAGAATAACTACGTGATCTAGCAATGTGTGTCTATCCAAAGGAAAGGCAATCAGCATGTCAAAGAGATATCTGAATTCCCTTTTTCATAGCATCACTACACATAATAGTTAAAATACAAGCTAGCCTACATGGCTCTCGATGGGTACATTAAACAAAGAAAATGTAGTGTATATGCTCAACCAAAGACTCTTAGCCCACAAAAAGAATGAAAATCTACCAAAAGCTATACCAACTAAGTAAAAAACTGAATTTAAATATGCATTAATTGTACTTTTATTGTGAATATCAATACAATCAGGTTGCTTTCCACTTACAGTGCAGTGCACAGGGATTACATATAATATGCAGTACTTGATATGAACCAGACTTCATACTAATGGATTTTTCCTCACTGTAGACTAGTGCAAGTGCTCTGAGAACATCTAAGACAGGCTAGGATGAACTAGAGAAAGCATTTCTACCTCCTTATGTGTTTCTATGGAAACAGCACTATCTCTATATTAAGGAACATCTGTGCTATATTGTTGAGAAACTTAGAGAGAGATTTTATACGCTTTTACCACAGTGTAGTGTGAGCTGATGCATTTGTTCATTAGCTGAACTAAATTAGTCTAACTTGTTTATAGACCTCAGAACATCATGTTGTATATGATACAAGCATCCAGTGTTACCTATGAATTTAAAAATAATCTTTACCAAAAATATATATATATATATATATGAAACACTGAGCTAGACAGTGGGGGTGCATGTCTTTAATGCCAGCACTCATAAGGCAGATCTCTGCAAGTCCATGGCCAGCCTGATCTACAGAGTGAGTTCTAGGAGAGCCATGGTTACACATAAAAAGCCTGCCTAGAAAAAAAGAATAACATGCACTACTTTTCAAGAGGACCTGGGTTTGGTTCAGCGCCCACTTGGGGTGGCCCACCAAATCCTGTTACTCCAGTTCCAGGGAATCTAAAGCCAAAGACTTCCTCAGGCACCTGCACCTCCATGAACATACCCACACGTAAGTATACTACAATCTGAAAGTCATTTTTACCTTTTACTCAAAATCAAGTACTTAGAGTATGCATGTGTTTGTCTGTGTATAAACAGGGATATGTTTATGCATAACATATCCTTCTTGGCTTAACTATCCACAGGGGACCCTTCATCCTGTGCAACAAAGGTACTCAGATCTCCATGCTATGAGATGTCTATCTTATCACCTCTTCACCATTTTAAGTTTCAAACACAAGACAAAAGTTTGAGGTTCCCAGTTAACATATCAAAGCATACCTGACCACCAGGTTCTCCTGGCATCCCTCACTCCCTGTCTGTTACAGGGTCCACCTGGCTGGTACACTCTACCCTCTACCCTGAATTCTCCAGCCCAGAGTCTGGGCTGCCCTTCCCCCAGAGGTTCTTACCTATATAATCCAGACATTTTGGTTACCTGCCCCACTCTTTTTTGGCCTGCTGGATGCTACACCCCTTTTCCGTCTCTCCCATCTCTCTTCCTCTCCCCTTCTCTTCACATGCTCCAGCTCAATTGGTCATGTCCACACTGGACTCACCCAGGTGTCTCTGTCTCTGGCTATGCTCTCCATTTTATCTACAATAAACCTTCTCCTCATCCATACCTAGGGGTAGGCATGTCCTTTCCTTTTCTTTTTATTTCACTTTTTTTCATCCACACCCTGCTCACTCAGACACAACACAGTCCACTGAACCTGTCTACCTTGGCCATTCACACTCAGAATGAATCAAATCCAAAATAGCAGAGGTGTGAAGTCTGCAGCCCAATTACTTTAGCAGCTTCTGGGATGCCTGGAGACCTTCCTTTAGTCCCCCTTCCAAAGACTTTGGGGCTTAATCCTGATCTAGTTCAGCAAAATATCCCCAACATCGTTCCAGTCAATATTTTATTGTGGCTTTAGTCAGTGTTTATTCTTGTAGACTGAAACCAGCAGAACTTTGACTAGCACACTACCCTAAAAACATTTTGATAGCTATACAAGAAATGAGCCCTAATTATCTCTGAGAAATAAAGAGGACTGTGGGTGCTAGTGGTTAAAAAAAAAAAGGAACTTTATTACCATACGCCACTCTGCACTCTGAAAAGCTATGTTTCTGTAGTTTGGTGTAGTTTGACTTGTGTTTATTGTTATACTGCGAATTGTTCAATTTGCATACCAATTTCAGGTCACTGACATCGGGCTTACTTTTTCTCATTCTCACCTTTATCCCAATTCCAGTCTGGCCTAGCTTTCTTATTTCATGGATGTGCAAACTGAGTCCAGATTAGCTATGAAAGGCCAGCTACTTCCAAACTGTGATACCATGAGGCCACTGCTTTTAGACTAGCCCAAAATTATTCTCACCTAACAGCATAAGTAATAATGATTTTGTTTTAAGTACAGTAGGTATTAAGGGATCTAACATCTTCCTGTCAAATTGTCTATTATTATTCCTTTAACGTTGCATTTCATTTTTATGCAATTTGAGACTCACTTTGGTTAATAATCCCCCACTTTGAATAAAACACTAAATTAGGATGGGTTGATTAGTGATCATTCCACACATTAACACAATTTGTCTTCATTGGGATACACATCACCTTGGGAACACAGAGAGAACTACTCTGTGTAAATGGACTGGAATTTCCAATGGGGCTATGAAAACTAAGGTGGAGGCTGGGAAGGGAGCTAGGCCAGATGGTACTATGCTGACCACATGAGTACAATCATAGAAAAGCTTAACAGGAACAGTGTGAGCCTGCCATTCCAGCATCAGCATGTGGAGACAAAGGATCCCTTGGTCTTACTGGCCAGTCTAGCCAAACCAATGAGCTTCAGGTTCCCTGAGACAATCTGTCTGGAATTATCAAGCCAGAGGGTGACTAAAGAAGACCATTAGTTCAGACCTCTGACCACCACATACATAAAAATAGAAAAAAAACAATTATTAGATGTAGGCTCTGGTCTGTTGACCTTAAACAGTGGCCACACCCCTATGGGTGTGACTTCGGATAGAAGGAAGCAGAAAGAGAGGAGCTTGAGGTCTGGCTTTCCTTTGTGCTCTTTCTGTTAGGATCTGGTAGGAAGAGCAGAGAAACACTCAGGTAGTTCTTTGTATTTTTCTGTGTAATTGTTCCCCAATAAACACCCATTTATCATTTATCTTGGGTCTAGTGATATAATTGCAACCTCGCCTTCAAGGGTGTGCTTGGGTAGGTCCCTGCAACCTTAATGAGGCTGCCTGTACAGCCCGTGGCTTTTGCACTTTGGTCCTGTCGCCGAGTTGGCTGCACAGTTTCTGCAGTCTGTCCAGGGAAAAGCTGGACGGTGGTGGGGCACACCTTTAGTCCCAGCAGTCAGAAGGAAGAGGTAGCCTTTTCAGTTCCACAGACAAGATGCCAACAATTAGAAGTGACACAGGAAGACTCCTCTACTCACTAACAAAAACAAAATATGTTCAGAAAGTATCCATCCCCTAGAATGAAATTAGCACAAGTTGGGATAAGCTTACCAAATTAGCCATCTGTGGAAATAATTCATCCTGGGAGGTGACCTAGAAATACATTGAAAATTGGGACCAAAAGCTTTCCAGTCTTGAGAAGTTTAAGAAAACTAGACTCAGGTATCATAATTATAAAGCAGTAAGCTGGGCAGTTGTATTTTATCTTACTTAGGATGATGTCATGGTTCTCTGGCAGTTGATCATAAAATAAGAATCAAAGACTAAGAATGTATCACTGTTTGTCCAGCACTGCTGTGAGAATTAGAGTACAGGCCTGGGCCACTCTGATTCGACTCAAGGGATCGCTGGATTTATCCAGGCAACAGGTGTTTCCCAGACCAGTCAATTTAACAGAAATAGGGTCACAAAGAGAAAATGGGGAGAGACCAGAAGACACAGATGGAGGAAAAGGAAGATACAAATTCAGGAATGAGAGAAAGGAGACCATGTTGGGGAGAATTCTGAAGGAGGACAAAGACCTCATCTGCTGTAAACAAGCTTTTTGACTACTCAAAACAGAAAACCAGCAAGGGCTTGACCCTCTCCTGGATTTCTGCTGTAGCAACATTTTAGCAAAACTCCCATTATAGATTATATTTTTCTATAGTGATCCTAAGTATAATGGTTATTAGCTCAGTTTTATGTAAAATTCAGAGAGAGCTCCTTACTCCTCTTTTCATAGTTATCAGTTAACTCTCCATCTTCTATCTCCAGCTTCATCTTATTGTCTCAGCCCTTCTTGGTACCCATGGTTGCATTCCCACTTCCAGATACCAAAAATACGCCTGCTTCTTCCTACTCTCTGAACCTTTTCATACTCTCTAGGCAGAACAGAAACTCCCCAATTGCCATCCTTGGGCTTCCTGATTAGTTTCTTAGCCAGAAAGAAAAGGCCAAGGAAACTTTCTGGACCAATTCATGCCTCTCCACATAGAGAGATTTGTGCAGACCTTGTAGGCATTTTCCAAGTGACCTGAAGTTACTTCAGTGCCTTCCACTCTCCAGATAAATACTAAGCTCAGACAGGCAGTTTCAGTCTCACATTTACCTATACATGCTCCTCCCTCATAGCACCTTATAACAACCCAGGAAAACACTGAATACATTCATGAATGGATAAACTAATGAAGAGACGCAAACTGCGGTCATGCAGAGAATTACACAAACTCAGAATCTCAGTTACACCAATGTCTACATTTCAGTGCTTCTTTCACTTACTATGCTAAGTAACAATAATAATAATAACAATAAAGTCACATGCATTGTTTTATGTTTCTGTATTTGAAAATTGTGCTTTAACACTGTACCAGGACATCTTCATTTAACAAGCTGTTCATAAACTCCCAAACTGCATTGGCTCAATGTGTGCCAATAAAATACAGAGCATGTTTTCCATTGAGCAGTTTAATATGACAGTTGTATGGTAATATGGAAGTGGGGTTCACATGTTAAAATCGTGGATCTAAATAAAACACCATCAGAATAATACAATAGAGCCCTTCAGAGCAGGTGGGTTGTCAAGTTTCTGTGGGGAATTATAGGTAGGATTGCATATATTAGACGGAAGCTTAAATATTATTTACACATTGGATCACTAAAACATAACTGATACATTGTTGATCTATTTCCCAAACAGTAATTTCAACTGTTTCTTCCTCATATATGCATCACACTCTGTAGTCACAGGGAACAAGGTTGACTCTGTTGCTTAGCTCTTTTAATCACTGTTACTCATTCTTGCCTGCTATTTGCTTTTCCATCATTCTAACTGAGGCCTGTGTATCCATTCCCCCACCAGACATGCCCCACTCATTCAAGTGGAAAAAGGAACTTTTCCCAATCAAGGCAACTGAACAGACCATATTAAGCAAGAAGGCTGCAAATCCAATGGCCTATTACTCATAGTTAACTGGTGATCCACTGATGATCATTGCTCAAGAGAAAAATTTACTAAAGCAGTAAATCATCCCATTGAGCTCCCCTACATGTTCATCCCATTAGGAGGTGTGCATTTGGTAGGGTTGCTCATTGCTCATGTCACTCTGTAAAATGGACCCGACACTCTTTGAGTCTCTCAAGCCTAAACTCCACAACTGCAGCCTCCATTCAAGTACAGGTTGTTACCCTAGAACATACAGGGATTGTTTCCTGTGACCTGTGGAATTCTCAGAGACTGGGAGGATTCTTTTTCCTAAGACTGCCCCTCAGAGTGACTCTAAAAGAAAAGTCTTCCAAAATCACTAGTGTAGCACTCAGGTTCAAGATAAAGAAATATAATAATTAAATAAATAAATCTTAAATATATTACATGTGGTTAGAGCCATATCCTATTTTTCTTTTTTGTAGCTGGCATTAGACAGGAGTGGAAAAATATCAAAGGCATTCCCACATAAAAGTCCACACTGAAGTATGCTTAAGTGTCAAATTGAGAACTCACAAAAGACAGGAAGCAGGGAGTTCAGAACTTAACTTGCCTGGAGCTCGCCCTATTGTGCCTAGGTACTAAGAAAAAACTTGGGGTCAGAACTAGGTGCCTCTGTTTCCTTTCACTGTTGAGATAGTAAACTTCAAAAACTATTGATTTGACAAGAAATTTCCAAGTATGAGTAAGCCATACAGGTTGGAAACTCTAGCTTTCAAAGTCATGTTACAACTTAATACTTTTTCAAAATTACAAAAGCCTCTATTATCTTTGGTGAGTCTTATTTTCTATGTGTCTAATTTTAGACTCTACTGGGTCCTTTTCCTTACCAAAAATATAATACTTAATATTAATAATAATAAAGAAAAGAGTATGCAAGAAGTACAAAGGACTTCATCCCAGGCAATGGTAACCATCTTATTTTCAGTTTTAAATGAAAATAACTGAATTCATTGTCAAGTTTGAAATCCTCATGCACAATGACCTCCACATTGGATACAAGTTGATTCTTCCTGGACATATCTCAAGTGTATCCCATAAGAGTATGTTAAAATGTCTCTAGTGTATATGCAGATGGGATTACACCCTTCTTGCAGAGATGGACGGCCCTTGGGACCTGCTGTGCCTCTAGCTGGAATATTCACTTCTGGGACAGACAGTATCAAGGTAAGTGTGTGAATCCACTATGAAATAAGAATGCACGTTGGTTTTTTTGGGGTGGGTATTGATACATATGTGGTCTTCCATGATACATAATGTTGTCAGGGCAATTATCAGGGCTTATTAAGAAAGAGTCCAGGTATCACATATAGCAGCCAGGCTTTCAGTAACTAATCCTTGGGACTGCAACAACTCACACCCCAGACACTCTTACAGTTAGATGCTTTTCACATGGTATGCAAGATTCATCTTTCTAAGAATGAGAAACTGGGAAACTGAGAGTTCCTGCTAGAACAGATCACCCCCAAATAACTGGCAAGTGAGCCTTGAGAGGCCCCTCAAACAGGACACGGAATCCGAACTCCCCTGGTGGCTTCTAGCAGCTTGTGATCTTAATCACCTCTAAAAAATGAGCAAATCAACACTATGCGTTTGAGTTAGTAACAGAAACCTATTCTTCTAAATGAGATAAAAGTGGGGTAAAATGTCAAATATTGGGATAATCAGAAGTTTTAAACAACACATTAGCTAATACCTGTCTCACTCAGTGACATGAAAGCTGTTACTCCTGCTAGTTAATACTCTCTTCACCTTACATTTCATTTTTACTTAAATCCTGTAAGAGAGAGTCACTGAAAATCCACTGTGTGCTGGTCTATCAGTGTTTTCAGGGGATGAAAATGGCTGCACAAAGGAAATTAGTAAGATGATATAAAAGGATAACATTATTCACCATCAAAAACTGTTGAGTTTTAAGAATGCCAGGAGACAAACAAAAGATAACCTGGACTACGAGCAAGGCCAAAAGACACAGGTTTGGACTGTAGCAGGCAGTCCCTCACTATGGGGTCTCCCTAAAGGAAGATGATGAAAGTTTCTGGCTTAGCTTTGAGATGAAGAGTGCATTCAGGAGAGCCACATGGTGAGATGAATGTCAGCAGCACCAGACAGTGTGATAGGTCACTGTTCTTGCTTTTTGAGGCATAACTAGAGCTTTTCCTGGAAGACACAGTAGGACAAATGAACCATTACTAAAATAAGAAGAATAGACCTCTGAAATTTAATCGATGTAAGAAATCTCATCTACAAAAGTAATGTAAATAAGACATAAGTTGTTCTGAGTAACTGGGTGATGCTTTTACCAGTATTTTAAAGAACACTATAACCAAAGGTGAAGTGGTATGTACAAGTTCCCCAACTGTTCACAACTGGACCTTTGAGTCATTCCTATTAGAAAGATGACTACGTGATAAATGGCCACCCACAGGATATACAGAAATACTGATGTCATAGTAGCTGTTTTTATAGTTTCTGAGCCTAGAAAAACCCTAGACTACAATTCTGCAGATAATCACTGGATACTTGCTCAGTTGCCACCTAGCTTCATTTAAGAAATAGTCTGTCCATTTATGCCTTTCCAAGGGAGAATGTTATTCTCTAAAATAGGCAAGCTCCCTCCCTATCATTCCCTTAGTAGCCACAGTATCTATAGTTGACTGTCTCATCTCCTCTACATAAGAACCTCTGTGTCATGTCTAAAGGCTGTGGATTTGTGAGTTCTTCTCTGAAAACTACTCTCTGAGGCACAGCCCTACAGCTCCAGCACCATATGTTTACTCCCTGTGCCTAACAGCCCTTTCCTAAAACACTTTCACACATAAGCACTTCCGCTGCATAAGCAGAAACTTGGTGAAATGGAAATTCAAGGAAGTATTTTCCTTCTCTCTTAAAAGGAACTCTCTTGGTGTCCCCTTTGCCTAAGTGCCTCTAAGCCACTGTAATTGTTAAGACAAACCAGGCCTCTTTCAGCTATATAGTCATTAAGGATAAGATAAAGGGCTGGGTGGTGGTGGTGCACACCTTTAATCCCAGCACTTGGGAGGTAGAGGCAGGTGGATCTCTGTAGATTCAATACCAGCCTAGTCTACAAGAGCTAGTTCCGGGACAACCTCCAAAGCCACAGAGAAACCCTGTCTCTAAAAGCCAAAAAAATATAATAAAATAAAGGTAAAGGTCACCACTCCTCATGTTATATGAGCAGTGATTACTAGATTACATGTCATTTTGAAATTCTACCTCATCTCTCTAACTACTTTTTTCCTTCTTATCTTGTAAAACAAGGAAAGGCTTCATTTCCCAGCCATTGTGATCAAGTGTTTCTTACAACTAAGATCATATGAACTGATGCTATCAGTTAGCTACACAACAGATCTACAGGTCATCTGGACAGCTGTACTCATGTGAGGCAGGCTTCTGTTGGACTCTTTTAGCACCTGGGGGTACTGCTATGCAGGCCACCAATGCTGCCTGCACAGTATCTTGCCATCTTCTACATGTTTCACACAGTAATGTGCATGTGAAATAGCAGGGGGTTGAAATAAAGCCTCTCTGTCATCGTCATTGACCATCTGGAAGAGACAAGACAAATAGTGGAGATATGGTTAAAAGGACTCAGAGCTTGCATTTCTAAATGACTACATAAAGTAGGTGCATCTACCCACAACAGGCCCATTTCACAATTTCTTAAGACACATACTATGTACAAAAAGTATCACTGCATTGTCCTAAGGAACTGAGATGTCGGGAGTATTTGTCACAACAACTAACACAAACAGGCAAAGCATACTACCATATACAAATATGATATTCAAAGATTGGGTAGACCAGGCTGACCTTGAACTCACAGAGATCCACCTGCCTCGGCCTCTCAAGCACTGCAATTAAAGGCATGCACTACCACCGCCTGGTTTATTTACACTATTTTAAAAGGAAATCTACACTAACAAATGTAAAATACATTTGTCTTCTCTCCAGAAAGCCACTGTTCTAGGAATACAGGAAAGAGTTACACAAAGGAGGCCAGGTGCTCCTTGGGAAACCAGTGGCTCCCAAACCTCTCCCTCCTCCCCATTAGCATAGAGGATGGCAGTGAAATATCTTAAGAGAAATTGAAAGCCTGGCCACTGCCTTAGACACAGGCCAAGATGTCTGTGTGTCTACAGTGTCCTCTATCATTCATCTGCCCAGTTGCCTCCTCTGCAGTGTGAGTCACTTCCCCTGAGAGCTCTTCAGTCCCCTTCCAGAAGCATCTTCCTTTGTCTTCTGCATTCACCGAAAGCAAATAAATGACTAGGAGGAACATATTACACTGCAGTCCAAGCTTAAGTTTATTCACCTCTCTCACCCATGAGAGGTTCTAAGCTGGAACCATTTCCTGGAATGATGTCTAGAATACAGACTATGTTCACTACATATTTGCAGAATTAAGAGAGAACTGTTCACCAGGCCAGTGTGTCCCCAAATATGGTGAAGACTTGAAGACTTACACTCACTTAAACAAGGAAGAATGGGGATGCTCCAGGAGTAAGATCACGCAACTGCATCTTTCACCCATGGTAGCACGGCACTGACTTCTATGTTCTAGGCTAAGTAGAGAATTTTGCGATCTCGGGAATCAAAGGAATCATTAGTCCTCTTCTTTGACAAATCTACCAGGGACTCTAAAGTACAGAAGTTAAGTGAAGAACAGCACAGTCTGGGGTCTGTGGTTATTGAGGGTCTTGTATATAGCAAGAGTGGTTTAAGTTTGGAGACTGGGATAATGAACAAAATGATTCAGAATACCTGATCTAGGAGGTTTGTGTTCTAGGAAGTTAAGCAGGAGATTTGGTTTACAAAAATAAATACATAAATAGATAAATAAATAAGCAAAAACAAAACGTGTTTGTCATAAGTGCTAAAAGAAAAATATCCAATTAAACTATGAGAAAGTGCTAGACAGATTTTATTTTATTACAATTATGTATCTGTTTAGTGTGTATGTGAATGTTTGTGTGTATGTGTGTTTCTCTGTGTGCATGTGTGTGTGTGTGTGTGTGTGTGTGTGTACAAGTGCTCATGCACATGTATGCCCACCTCAAATGTGGAAGTCAGTGGACAACTTGTAGAAGGCAGCCCTCCCTTTCGACCATATAGTGTCCAAGGACTGAACTCGGTGCAGCAGGCTTTGGAGCAAGCATCTTTGCCTATTGAACCAGCCAGCCAGACTTCCCAGAGGGTGCATTTGAAATCGCTCAGCCAGAGAAGACTAAGTTGAGAAAGTGGCAGCGAGTGAAGATGCAGAAAAATGACTGAAGGAAAGATCAGGTGAGCAGATCTGATGGTGGGCAGATTTTTTATAGATGTAGAAAGAAGCAAGAGCCCAGGATGGCAGAGCATGACCAGTAAGTGACATAAGTGAGGGCCTAGGATTGAGCTTGCCATTCGCATGGCACTTTCCCCACCATTAGTTCTTTTTCTTCCTTCCAATGAAATGGGGAGTGAAGAGAGAGGTGCCCACTTAGATTTTAATGGTGTCTCTGTAGCTAGCACGTTGAAATTAAACTGAAGTGGGGACAATATTGAAACAGAGGAATCCTAGAAAACTGTTGTCCACAGAGCAGGCTTGAAATGATGTCACAAAAGGCCAGGGTTAACCAAAGAAGGTGATGGAAAGCGCTTAGATTCCAGTGACACTTGAAAGTCAGAGCCAACAGGCCTTGCTTATAGATCAGGGAAGTCAAAGAGAGCAGCGCCAAAGTTTGGGGCTGACCAGTTGGGACAGGGTGTGAGGTGGCTGAGATGTGGAAGACTGGGAAGTGAGCAGAAGCAGTGCTGTCAGGTGGACTCTATATGGGATTTAGTTGACACACCAAAGTGTAATCTTTCATGCATTTCTTTCATTGTGGCTTTCTCCATCTTTGGCTTTTGCTGTCCTATTTTGAGTTTCTGTCTTCTGAAGAAAGAGTTAAGAGTTGCATGTCTGAAATTACTCTGAAACCATGAAGCACTGTGGAGTGAGTGTCAGCATTTACATGTAGAAACCCCAGCATGATGCCATCAACCCCAAGGAGAGCTTTCCTCTGGCTTTTGGGAACTAAGGAAAGGAAATAGGATTTCATAGCACCCTGGGGGCTCTTGGCCAGAGAGCACAGGGTAGATTCTTTGCAGACTAGTATAGTGCCCTTTCTGGAAACCCTCAGAGTGTGCTAACTCTTGGAAATGGAACCACCCATCATTAAATCATAACCTGAGGGGACAAAAAGTAACAACGGACCGCTCATTCCTACCTCACTTTGCCCAGAAAGCATTAAGAGCAGCCACAGAAACTATGATTTCAGCCGAGAAGATCTGAAACCTGTGGATTTCCTCTTTAAGGAAACCAGAATCCATCCTTGCAACCCATCTCCCATTTCCAGCTCATCTCAAAACCACCAGCTCTGTCCTCGCCACGCCCAGCCATCAAATCCTGGTAGGAACAGCTGTCACCACAAAAAGTCATACTGGGCCAGGACAGCCAGCTGGCTCAGGAATTCACAAACAAACTAACCTTGAATTTTATTTTGAGCATCAAGGCTAGCTTGCCCCTTGTATTCTTCAGAGCCATCTCTGTTTTTACTCTTTGATAAACAAACTCCAACTCATATTCATATTAAGCTGTGTTGTGGGGTTTCAAGGCCACTATCCCCTGTTGCCTTCTTTGCCTCAAGTCTTCATATTTGCATACAAAGCAATGGACTTCATTATGGCATTTTTATACTCACTTTATCCTGATTCCTTTCCACCTCCCTGTGCCTCCTCTCTCCTGTTCCCTGTTTTGAATTCTCCTTTCATAACTGGAAGGCTTTTAACTCTTGACAGTGTGAAGATTAAGCATCCGAACTCAAGCCTCGACTTCGATGATCAGGGGAAGAGGCTTGGAGACTGTTGTTCTAGTAACAATTTAGTGATCATTTTTCACAGTGTTGACAGAAGTCATGGAACTGGCAAATGACATAATCCAGTATTTTAAAAGATGTAAGAAACCAACAAGCGTATGTGTTGCTGCACAGCCCCACCTATTGGCCAGAGGTGGAGTGGACATGAACCAGGAATAGAATCTGAAAGAGCAGCAGACCAACAGAGAAAAAGGCGATGGGGTAATGGGAAAAAGAGTCGTGATGGACTTAGACTAGTGTCCATAAAATTCTGTATTCTGCTGATGCAGAAACTGAACATCTAATGAAGTTCACACAGGGAACAAAATACCCGCAAATCTCTTTGTAGGGAAACCCACTTTCACACTGTCCAAGTTTAAAAAATAAGGATCCTTCTGCAACAACGAAGAATAGACAGACAATGCAACAGAACAAAGATGGCAGAGACTAGCCAGCGTGTGGAATATGCTTCTCTCCCCCAACAACACAAAGGCATTTGGACAGAGAAATGTTGGAATTCAAAATGTTGCATTTGACAATTATATAAAACTCATATAATTTAATTTCATACCTCACACCTTGTATACAAGTTAAATAAATATCTTATATCTGAATAAAATACCACTATGAAATTTCACAGAGAAAAGAAACAAGGGGGAAAAGTCTTGGTGGTCTTGGTTAGGGCTAAGAAATCTTACATAAACAGCAAAATTGTAGTCATTTAAGAGTATCGTTTTATACTTTTGATATCATCTGCTCATTAATTTTCTCTTTAATGACTACAATACTCTTAATCAGCCACTCTTAATTGAAATACAAACTTCCCTCAGCCTTATTTTAATGACTGAACTGTGTCCCAGAGAGTAGACCAAGTTCACATTCCACATCAACCTTGAGTACGCATTCATCGTGAATGTTCTGTGCCTCCAGGAATGTTTTCAGCAGGAAATATAATAGTAATAGGTGAGTGCTCATTTAGCCCCTGTTGCTTCCTCATCAAACTACAAATTACATCCTCACCGGCCTGTGGAACATACCCTAGCTCTGAGTCTAGGAACCAGTGAAAAGAAGTCAGATCTCGCCACCTACAGGCAGAACATGAGTTACTCTGGAGTTAGCATGCAGGTCAACTAAGGCAAAAAGGAGAGGAAATCGCTAAAGACTCCACTGCATCGAGAATCGTGTGCTACCTCACATCTGTCATAACCCTAGTGTCATTGTTGTTTTTGCTCTGGGATCCACTAATGTGTTTCTCACACAGCAAGATTTTCACTTCTTGACAATAATTTCTTGTATGTCTCCTATATGCTTAAAAAATCTATTATATTCATTATGTTGCAGAGACAAGGAAGACCAAGGATTCACCTAGAAGAGCAGGTCACCTAGGAGGAGAGGATGCAATAGATATATGATGGGCATGCAGGCCAGTTTGTTCGGGAATCCTGTCTGCTTCCAAGGGCTGGAATTTCAGTTTGAGCACCATGCCCAGGCAGCATGTGTGAGGGCTTTGGGAATCTGAGCTCCCTCCTCTTGCTTATAATTCAAGCACTTTAGCCACTGAATCATCTCCCTAGGCCTGGTATAGGGAATCTCAGGGCTGATAACATGAAGCTTAAAGCTCTCTGACTTTACAGCTCCTTGCCATTCTAGCTTTGCTACTTGGTGTGTAGGAA